GGTATATATATAGAAATATCTACTAATTATTATCATTTGATTTCACATGTACCATCAGATATTACTATATATTGCCGACGACTTCATTGACAGCGTGACTATGTTTGCCTGCCAATTGGCCAAACATCGAAATGCCAAAAAGCTTGATGCCAAGGACATCCAATTGCATCTAGGTATTGTCCTCCCGCCCCAATCCTTTTGTGAGTGTATATAGCTCTAAACGTGGGAATATGAGCCGCCCATTCGTGAGTGTGTATTGCTCCATTTATGTGAGCATTTAGCCCCTTGTGTGAGAGTGAATAATTGCTTGTGATACAGTTAATCACTGCACATGTGCGATAGATACCACTGACACTACACGTTGGTTAAATGACACTATATCGAGTAGTGTGCCAACCTTCAGAGCGCGAGAGCGTTTTACGTCACATGAACGGCGGCTCAGGAGCACTCTCTATACACAGTTAGTACAACAAGGTGTCTAAATCGGATACCTGTTGGGATAGTTGATTGTTCAGAAGGGGTATAGGAGAGAACTAGGGTGTCGAAAAAAGTATTCTATGTAGGACACTTAAAATCTTCTCTTCCATGCCCCACTCAATTGTTGAGAATCTGTCGTACATTTCAACGGCGTAAAGTGTTCGAATAAAGATGGAGTACATACTTGTGGTTTGTATCGCTAATTCAGGCTTTGGTCGAATATTATAGAAACGTTATACAGTTTAGTCAACTTCATTGGTACATCTCAATCTGATTGTCACGCATCCTTTTCGGTTGAGCATGGGCGGTTGTGTAACTGCGGAGAGAGTGTTCCGAAGAACATTCTTTCAAGGAACGTTCCTTTTGGTAGACGCTGTATCGGGATATTTTCTTTCGGGATTGACTGTTTTAGGAGACTTTCACTTGGCATTCGTTTCTGTGTTTGTCCTTAAACTGGTCATGCGTGACAATAGCTGTGCGCGAATGACACCAATTACACATCTATTCACGGGTCTTTTTTCTTTATATACAGAGCAAAATTGGAAATTCAAGGAGGATTAAATTGGAAATGCAAGGAGGAATGTGGCGTCGTAGCGCCGGGTCAAGCGCCAATTAAAATCGGGTCTTTCCCATCCGAGACAAAAACTTAGTACTGGCTACTTCTGAGGCCATTGATTTAGGAACAGAAATTAAAAATTTCGAAAAGTGCCGTTGCCGTTGAGACGTTAATTTGAGGGTCGTCTTACTATGTCCTCTAAAATTGCGAGTTACGTACTTTATTCTGCATATTATTCGTAGCCCATTCCGTCAAGGTCTATAACTTATAAGTGTGGTCATGTGGAACTTGCATTCAGTGTTGTCTGGCCCTTACTAAACGGGTAAACATTTAAGTGTTTTGGTACCTACAGTAAGCAAAGTGCACTTTGAAAACGTTTTAATTAATTAGACTATTTCTATTTCTATTATGCGACTGAGCTTTTCCTAGTCCGCGTCAAACTTAGGTTTATACATGAGTGTCTCGGTCACGCGTCAAGCGGACTTTACTACCAAATTCCAGGGATCAGTCTGTAAGGCACCTGGGCACAGTATTCATCCCAGAACTTGCCATACTTGCCCTTACACCGGCCCTCATCCCTGCATCATCGAACGGTCTCAAACGAGTGACTATGTATGTAAATGGTCGATTCAGTATAGCTATATCTATTGGCTCCTATCCCGCTAGCTATAGCTAAATCGCATGCTATAAGTGTTCTCAGTTGAGTGAATACGGATACAAATGATTAGGTATATATAAATATATATATAATAATGGTTATGACTACACATACCTGTAAATTCGGCCTACTAGCAGGCAGATCATCTGGCAGATGTAGAAGTACGGCAGGGCGTGAGTGTAGCCCGTCACCAGACAGAAACACAGCGACATCAGCAGATCAGCTAGGTAGTTGGAGTGTCGCGCCACGCCCCACCACCCACTGGTTAGTAGCAGGCTACTTATAGGACATTAAAATGACGATATTAGTGGACAGCAGCAGACAAGACATGGAACAATGGCGTGGCCATGTAGGTAGACATCGCGTATTGATAGAAGTAGAAGGACCGCGGTAGTAATGGTGCGTGCACCAGGGCTATCGGATTACATAATATATTACTAATAATCGTCAGCAATACAGCGCAAAACAATGTCAATCTAAGTGCACAAACCGTGCAGCTGCGGGGTATGCTTTGATTGTTACGCAGGCATGTGACAATGTGCGTGCAGACAAACGGGTGAGATGAATTCAAACAACGATAGTAGATTGGCAATGGTGGAACAGCTACAGTGCCTATTCGTGTGCATTGACTAGTATATTATGATGACACAAATCTATTTCTGGTACCGGCATACTGGTACGCCTGTCTGTCGCGAATAGGAATTTCTCAAGATATCATATAATGACTTGGTTCATCAACAAAGAACGATAGGCGACGGAAAAAGTGATATATAAGAAGCAACAAGGATGGCCTCACAAAATAATACATATGTATACAAAACCGTTGAAAGTATATATATATATATATATATATATATACGTATATATATATACATATATATAGTATAGTATATATATATATATATATATATA